AGGTGACATGCTGAGAAAGGCTGATCTTTCTCAGATCCTGAATTCTATTCTCTTTTGTACTACAGCCTTCGCAATTCTGATAACCTAAGCATGTTTTCCTTGATGGTACTGAGGTTTGAGTCTGGTACTTGTCTCTACGGATGTAGCTTGGGGTCTCATTGGTTTACTCAGTGTTTACTCATTGGTGCTTCGAGATATATTTCAAAGGAGAAGTCAGCATGATTAAACACACTTAGGAAATGGGAGGTAGGTTGCAAGTTAAACTTCTGCAAAAGCTAGGTAAATCTGAGCTTCAAAGCTCCGGCTTTCTCTGTAAAAGGGCAAGATACGTGAGCAACTTGAAATTCTGAGGATTCCTCCACATTTATGGCTAGGGAAACAAAAGTCCAGAGCAAATGGTTTGAGGCCCCACAGCTGGTGAAACTAGAATTAGGTCCTGAGAGTCTTCTCCAATTCACTGTGTTCATATTAGTCCTCTTAGAAGTTTGTGGGGAATTCCGATCTAGAGCTTTCATATTAGACCTGAATATCAAAAGTTCTTGTGAGTCACTTAAGCCTCTTCCCTTTGGCCTTTACTGGTCACCTGAGTTGACATTATTAGAAATGAGTCCTAAGGTGCTGTATAAAAACTGCTTTGTTGGTAAAAAAGTGAGCTATAATGGGTGGTCCTAGAAGTTAAACTCTCTTCCCACCTTTAGGTCTCCTGCCGTCAAGTATTTTTCCAAATGATGTACTCATGGAAACATTTAAATGGAAAAACAGTGAGAACTGAGAAAAATTAGGTAACCGTCTTAACATACAGCCACACTGAAAGCTGAATAAATTCAGTATACTGAATATATACATCCTCCCATACAGAAAACCTTGTATCAGAAATGTCTAAAAACAAAACAGGCATAATGCTTCATTTAAAGGGTTAGTGGGGTTTTAGTTAGAATGCAGAGTTCTATCATGAGAAATTATATAAGGCATCTCTCTGTTGACAGTAACCTATCAAGGTTTTACAGTCCAGAAGCTTGTAGCAGGTTCACATTTTGAGTGCACGTGATACTCCAAACATGGTAACATGAAAATTTAGAACATGGCTCAACAATGTGAAAGAACAGACTAATTTTTTAAAAACTGGTAAATTTGATGTAAACGAAGTAAAAAAAAAATCACTATGTAGAATGCTCTCCTAGGTTTTTGGTTATGTAAAGTATCCTGGAGTGGGTAACCTTGAGTACCAGGTAACTTGAATGACCTAAGCTCTGCTTTTAGTTTTTGGACTGCTGTTCAGTGTGCTGTTAATTGGCTTAGAGCCAGCTACTGCCTTAGCAACAAGATATATTTAAATGAAAGTTGCCAGGAAAAAAAAAAAAGCAACAAGATATAGATATATAGATATAGATATATGAAGAGCCCCTATGTTGTGTCACCTATTACTCCTCACCCAGTGATACGAGATAATCTGTTATGGTTAACATTGAAACATTACTGCTGTTTCAATTAATGAAATTTCAAATATATGTTTGCATTTTCATTTACAACCTAAAGACAGCAAGTTAGTTGAAAAGGGAAGCTTAAAGAGGTTGAAATATAGGCACCAGGCAACAATTAAGTATAAATTGTTTATCTGAAAAAGCTATTGGAAAATACTTTTAAAGAAAATGGTCTCTAAAACTAAAAAATCAATACGTACATTTTAAACAGTTAATCCAGTTAAGAGGATACAAATGTGTAAAAACTTTTAGCCAAAAAAAAAAAAAAAACCACAAATACCAGTCACTGAAATACCAAGAAATTCAAGAAGCTATTAAGTAGCATACTTATTACTGGGGCTAAGACCCAGTGAAAAATTAAGTTTGTCCTTGCTTTGAGTATCTTACCGATTGCATTCAGCATACTTGAAAATGGGATGGATACATACGTGAAACAAAAAACACTTAAATTCAGCATACTCCTTATGAGAATACTTGAGCATTTGGTTAGGTGTTAACCCAGTGTCTGACATGTGACTAGACTCAAACTGTATTAATATTGGAAGGGCTTTAAAAATACCAACTAGTGCAGCCCTCTCTGGTTGGATAAAATTGAAAACAGAAAAGTTAATAGAACTAAAATAGCGGCTTCCAATTCTGTACTGTTACTTAAAGCATCTTTTTGAGTTACCAAAGGAAGAAATAAACAAATGGACTGTGGGAAAGGATCTTACAGAACTGCAGTATAGTTTTTCCAGGAGAATTTTTGTGTACCTTGCCTCAGTACTGTAAATAGTACAGAAGATACAGATGATCCTGAATCCAAAGTAATACACTGATAGTCTTTCTAAAATTTGTAATTAGATTGAACCACAGGAAATTGCTAATAGTTGATCATTTTTGACCCACAAAAGTGGTAATTTCCTACTGTTCAATCTAATGAACATACATCAGTTTTAAGTTACCACCACTTGCCAAAAGTCTGACTACAGCAGATTGCAGTTACTGCTTTATTTCAAATACTCCTGAAATAAAACCAAATGCTATCATAGATTAACATGAGTTATGAGCAACTATAGTCCATTTAAGTACACATTCTAATAAAGAACTAAAATTTAAAAAGGGGGTGCCTGCAAATTCACCTAGCAGATATTTTTATGACAAAATATAGGGGATCCAAACCATGTAGCAAAGACGGGAAGACAGTAACAAACATCCTTTTCTTTGGAAATTTGCCAAAACAGTAGATTTGAGTTCAATTCCAAGTTCCTTGGAACCTTCCAGAAGAAAATCCAGGTATAATTTTCCTTCACTGTCATTCTTAACCACCAGTCATCTGTCCCTGGACATTACGTCCCTACACATAGCCTGTTTTCCATTTTTATCTGTCCTTAGGCAACAGCCTATGACAGCACTAGTTGGTTTGAGCCCCAAAAGTGTAAATCTGTTTGCAGAGGATACAAATGGTACTATTTCTCAATCCAAGATTTAGTTAACGTACCAACTTAAGACCCTCCTTAGGTTACAAAACACTAGACACACAGCTAACAGCAAGCAACTACAAAAACACATGACAGCACAGCAGCAGTGGAACCCAGCAGCAGCTCAGGCAAGTTTCCGTGAACTCACCAGTTTGATGTGCTGCTTCTAAGTCCACGTTAAAAATACATGATTATTTTTCAAAATGAAGATACGTGTATTCCTATTATACTTTTGCCAATTACGTCTTAAGTGTTACCAGAGACACCATTTAGGCCCCTTAAGGTTTAACAAAGGTGATGCCTAAATCAAGAATCCTAGGGCTTCCAAAGTTGCAGGAAAAGCAGGTCATTTTTGCCACCGTATAATCTCAGCTACTACTGCATGATTCAGTTCAGGTGTCATATGAATGCATATATATATGCTGAAACATTGTTGGAACTGTACAAGATCTTCCAGAATACTTTTTTTTCTTCTCTTTAAAGAGACAAGGTCTCACTGACCCAGAACTTCCGAGCTCAAATGATGCTACCGCCCGGACTCCAGAATGCCTTTTTTGCTGGGGGGGTTGTTCAGTGTGTACTGGCAAGTTCTTCCCATAGCATCATCTCGCCTAACAAGGATAGCCGCCAACAAGACAGACCCCTCTCAAATACACTTAAAAGGCTACCTGAATTAAACATGGCTACGCTCTGGGGAGTGGGCTCTAAAATAAACACATGCATGTTTATCACAATTCTGCAGTACCTGTATTTTTAAAGGACGAGACATGGGGTTTAGTCATTTGTAAAGAAATGAATTTGGTGTGGTTATTTATTGCGAGTATGAAGAACTGGTTGAGCTATCCTCACGCTTTTTGATTATTCCATTCCCACTGAAACAATCCTTGTGGAAGAGATTTTAGTGTATCTATTCTACGTGGGAGAAAATGAAAAGTCATTTTTTTCCTTTACCACAATTTTGGCATTAAAATTTTTCTAATACCTTATAATTTTTAACCCAATTATGCAAGAGAACTGAGGCAATTTAAACCTGTTCCTAGCTTTGATTTTAAAAAAGACATTTGTGGGTAAATTTTTAAAAATCAGGATATGAAATCACTTGATACCTTTTATATATAAAGGACAGGAGTTGCACTACTCAGAGCTTTAAAATTATGTTGCCAAAAAACAATTAGAAGGCCTTAGGAAAAAGCATTTAACACAACCACATTTTAACCTTAATTAAAATAAATCTGAGGGATAGGGTTATATACATTGACCTGGCAAATTTTACATTTTTAACTATATCCTTAATTATCTTTCAGATCATATAAATTAAAATCACATTTTTATGCACATAAATTAACAGACTGCACACAAAAAATACTTTTCACATGCCAAATAATACAAAGGGCTGTCACTCTTCCTCAGTGGTCCATGTAATGTGGAACAACCCTTCCCCTATGTCTAACAATAATTTGACTTGACCTCACAATTAGCTGTATTAATTATTGTACCATTGTTCTCTAAAACAAACTTCATGTTATCTTCATAAAATTAAGCTCTGGCTAAAATATATACCTAAAGTTTAATAATTAATTTTCAGTCACTGGTATGAGCGCCTTCAAAATAAGTTACTTGAAAATCAAGAAGCAAATCATTGGCCTATTACTTAAAAATTGCTTGTCATACCTGCTACCCCCCATTGTCTTCCAAAGTTGCCTTTGATTAGAATTCAGGTTTTTTTCCCTAATATCACATGTATTATTATTAATTAGCTATGCATCTAACAGCCTAAGCTTGTGTTAAGATTTCAGAGGTTTCTTAAAAAATGATTAAATAGCCAACTGACATTTTAATGCTATTTATGAGCAAGTAAAAGCAAAGTATACTATCCTATACTTTGCTTTTTAAAAATCATTTATACTTGCTCATAAATAGCATTTATAAAGCAAAGTATACTATCCTATACTTTGCTTTTTAAAAAGCAAAGCATAGGCTTATCCTAAGCCTACAAATAGCTCCAACTACTTTGCAATAATTGGTGTAAAAAGTAGAAAGTTAAAAAAAAATCAGCAAATGGAAGATCAAAGTTTATTTACTACCTGCATACAAAAACATATTGCACATCAAACAACCAAAAGAAAAAAAAAAGAAAAAAAAAAAGATACTCTACTGAAGACTAACATGTAGTTTATACAGAATAAACCTTCTGGAAATTGATCTTTTCAGTAGTTCAGGTTATGTCTGAATGGACATGACTAATTCAGCTTAGTGTTTTAACTAAAGCTATGTTTGATTTTTAAATACTGTACACTTTAATAAATAAACCAAACAAAGCCTCAAGGTAGAACAGTCACTGCCAAATATCACCCAGCGTCCCTGCAGATTAGAGTTTAACAAATGTATTCCAGTGGTCTGCAGATTTTCCTCTACATACAGCATTTAAAAAACACATTAAAACAGACCAGTTTCCAGACTCAACTAATAAAGAAATTACAATTCAGTGCAAAATATTGTAGACTGCATTTCATTCTAGTTTTCCTCGGGTGAAGAAGTGGTTGCATATTAAAAATGTAACAAAAGCAGCTAATGCTTTCATAAAGAATATTACGTTAGGGATCCCCCCACCCACCACCCCCCATCTCTGCCATATTTTGAAAACAAAATAACATTTTTTCCTATAGCCAGCAACTTTTTTTTAATGTTACATATACTATTCTCAAGGCACATCTGATGATATATTTTATAACACAGTAGGTGTCAAAGTTATGTTTAACATATGATTTCCTCAGGATCCCTCCCCTTTTTGAATTCCAAATGGAGGAACTGAAAGTGCGATGTAAAGACTGGCGATCCATATTCTATCTTTGGCAAGCTTGTACAAGCACTATTGTAAATGTAATGTAAAAGAACTGTAAACTAGGAACATCTTCAGTTTATGAAACACCATTCAGGACTGCTGCTTCTTGAGTGTTTTCTTCTTTTAGGTTATTAATCTTTTCTTCTCCTGGAGTGCGCTGTAGCTTAGCAATGTCATCGCCAGAAGCACTAGTTGGGCCATTTATTGCCTTTTCTGAAGGACCATGCTCTTCAATCACATCTTTTGCCTGCCAAAGGGAGACAACTTTTTCAACTTCTTTATAAATGAAATCTATAGCTGAGGAGGAAAACAGCTACATAAACATTAATTAGCTAATTAAAAATTTCAGTTTCATATGCCACAATGGATCAAAGTATTAAAACGTCTTTAAAATTCAAAACAAATAGCAAAGTATTCCACTCTATGGGTCTTTCAACTTTGTATCTCTTAGCAGTGCCCAAACCACACAAAACATCCATACTAATAAAAACTGTACCTAATTTTAAAACACTGGAAAGCTCACCATGTAAATCACATAAACAGTTAATACTAAATAAAACAACTACTCACCTTTTTTTTTTTTTTTT